GACGATCAAGTCAGAACACTTCCAGAAGGAGAATGGGAATAGAGCACTTTAGAAGGAGAGAGAGTTGTCAATTCCTTCATATTACTTACCTCCAACGTTCCCTCATTCCCCATTTTCTAGGTTGGCCATGCAGCCTCAGGGATTGTGGGTGCACTACCTCTGCTATCATTCCCTGGACAGACGGTTGTACTCCCCTCTACCTTCCTTACATGTGTAGAGACCAAAACCTCCAAACAGTGTTTGTCGAACCGCCAAACGGTATTGACGCGTACTAGGAGTGGATTTCCCCTTCATCATATCGTTGGTCCAGGTGGCACACACAACTGAGCTAGAAGGACCGACTTATCAAATGGGAGAAACACCACAATAGTTGGGACGACCGAACTATACTAAATCGGTACATCTGAGCTAACCGGTCGCGAGACGTGCAGTTTGGTATCTCGGTCACGCCCTGGTATCTTTACACAATATCGCGGCCCATATCCAATATGAGCCGTCCACAGCTCGGCCCAACGCCTTGGTCAAGCATCTGCTTGCCTCCGAATTCCATAGACAATCTGCTCGGCCCAACGTAGCGGGCCGGAGGACTGCGTTGGCCTAGCTTGGTTTGACACGGGGCCTGGCCCTCGCAAGGCCCAACGTCGTACCCACGTTATCCTGGCTCGGCCCTACCGTTCAGCTCAAATCCCCCTCTCAGTAATGATATTTTATATTATTATATGTGTTGGAAAGAAATAATTTTAATTTAAATTTAAAATAAAATTTAAATGTAAATTATTTATTTTAATAATCTTCGCCTTATTGTTTTATAAAAGTGTTACTTTAATACTTACATATAATAAATTTAGTTAAATTATTTGTTTATTTTGATCATTTTAATTCTATTATGTTATAAAAATGTAATTATCGTATAATAATTTTATATGATATATATTAGATTATAAGATAGTAAAATAAACAGTCATTTTGATATTAAAAATAATAGTTGAATTAGAAAAAGAATTCATAATATAAACTAAAAGTTATTCTAATTATTTATTTTTATTTTTATTTTTATATTATTGAGAAAATAAAAATATGTAGAAATATAACTACACAAAATTTATTTAAAAGATTAAATATAAATATGCTGTGATTAAATTAAGAAGAAAATACATAAGTTAATTATGTAGAATATTGATTTTTTATTTAATATCTTTTTAATTATTCGTACATATTCTATATATGTATATAAAATTTAATTAAATATAAATATTTTGTAATAAATAATTTCATGTTAAATATAAATTAATATTAAGACATTAATAAAATAGTCAAAAAATATAAAATACAAAAAAATAATAATAATTTGATCTGTGTGATGCACATAATTAATTACATTCTATCTTATTTATTTATTTGTATATTGAAATAATTTTTTTTTTCAAATATCATAATAATTAAATTAAAATGCCAACTATACAAAAGAAATCTAATAGCGAAAAAACTAAATATATGAAAAATAAGATGGAAAAAGCATGCTGGTGTAAATTTTTAAATAGAATTCATATAAAATTGGTTATTATAATTGAAATTGAGTTTGTATAAAACTTTATATTGAAATGGAAAAGGCATGTTGATGTGAATTTTTTTTAAAAAAAAAAGTAAGGGCTTGTTTGGTTTGTATACAAGTTTTGAGAAACATTTTCAAATTTTGTTTGGGTCTTTTTTTTTTTATTTTTTTTTTCAAAATCACTTTTTTTTTCTCCTCTCTCATTCTCAATCACTTTTTCTCTCACACACATCTACTCAACTATAGCAAAATATCAAATCATCCAAAACTCCAAAACTCCAAAATTATTTTCAAAATATCCAACCAAACAAACCAATTTTTTTTTTTTTAACTCTCGCCCAAATTTTTTTTTGAAAATTTATCTCAAATGTCACAACACAAACCCGGTACCCAAAGGCTCGGCATTGCAATGAGATAATAAAAATAAAATAATACTAAAAAATTTCTGTAGTAGTAGTGCAAGCAGATAATTTAAATAAATTAAAACAAAATAAATGGGTACCAAAAGTTTATTAAAAAGGAAGATAGTCATTTGGGCTATTTATTTTATTACACGAGTCCAATAAAAAATGCAGATAGTAAATAAAAAAAAAATTTGCGATTCGTCCCCCATCTTGATCCCCCTAAATCTCGTCATCTGAAAGGAGTAACAACTATAAGTACATAATAGAGTGAAAAATATCATACTGTGAGTATAGGGGCACAAAATAGTCATGGATAGTTATTTAAGCTAAAATGTTAACATAACTTAATTTGAATAAACTAATTGTTTAAGTGGCAGAAACTGAAATACATGAATTATGTAAATAACCACAATCATAGTACATAATAGAACAGAAGTCACTGGAGTGACAAACAGAACAGAGGTCAATGAATCCATGACAAACAGAGGACCACAAAGTGGCCAAACAAAAGCCAATGGTTTATTTAAGTCCCCCAAGGTGTGAGACTCCCGTGATGGTACTTACAGAAAATAATTATTTACCAAATCATTGTCAAATAATTTATAAACTTTAAACAAATATATCCATGGATTTCAATTAGAGCAAATAGAGTAAAATATATTATGGTAACTCAAGACATTCGTAAAATATATTATGGTAACTCAAGACATATATAAAATATGTTATGGTGACTCAAGGTATAATATAACTCACCTTAAATTTACTCCTAAATTATTCTGGGCTCACTCCCCGTTTCTAAGGCTCCTTTCCAACCTGAATCCCTTGTGTTTCTTGCTCGAATGCTTTCTCCTACAACACCAACACCATTTACACAGAACTAAGTGTGAGGCCCAAGCAACAAGGCATACACATAGGTAATTTCCCTTAATGTCACCCATCCTTGGCCCTTAATTTTACCTCCTCTATTGCCACCTGTCCTTGGCCCTTAATTTTACCTCAAGAAATCACCAAGGGACATATTAACGCTTGGCCCACCGAAAACTTGTTTGGCCAATTTTTTTTTCTTTTTATTTATTTTATTTACTATTATTATAATAATAATAAGGAACTCTATTTATTGTAATATTGAATTAAATTTAACAAAATTTGGGTGTTACATTTCTCATCTCCTTAAAAGAAATTTATCCCCAAACTTGGTGTACCTTGGTTTTTGAAGAGGTGTAGGCATTTGACTCGCATTTGGCTTTCAGTTTCCCATGTCTTTTCTTCAACACGATGATTTCTCCATAAGACTTTTATAAGGGGTATAGTATTGTTTCGAAGGACCTGGTCACGACGATTGAGAACCTGTACAGGTTGCTCTTTATAAGAGAGGTCTTCTTGAACTTCCAGATTCTCATAATCGACAACATGCTCTGGATCTCGAAGATATCGACAAAGCATCGAAACGCGAAACACATTGTGGACATTGGACAGTTCGGGTGGAAGCGCAAGGCGATATGCCACAGGACTAATCCTTTCTAGTATGTCGAATGACCCGATGCAACGTGGGTTTAACTTTCCCCGCTTGCCAAATCGAATAACCCCTCTTGTTTGTGAGATCTTTAGGAATACATGATCTCCTATCTGAAATTCTAAGTCCTGTCTTCGTGTATCTGCATAGTTTTTCTAGTGGCTTTGGGCAGTGCAAATTCGTTGTTGGATGAGTTGAATTTTATCACTTGTGATTTGTACGATTTCGGGGCCTAATAATTTCCTGTCTCCAACTTCCGTCCAACACAGAGGTGATCGACATCTCTTTCCATACAGTGTCTCGTATGGTGCCATTCCAATGCTTGCATGGTAGATATTATTATAGGCGAATTCCACCAAAGGCAGGTGATCATCCCAATTACCTTAGAGGTCTAGTACACACACACGTAACATATCTTCCAACACCTGGATCTTCCTTTCAGATTGCCCATCAGTTTGTGGGTGATAAGTCGTGCTAAACTTCCAAGTAGTTCCCAAAACTTCTTGTAATTTGTTCCAAAAGTGAGACACGAAGTGCAGGTCTCTATTGGATACGATTGAAATTGGGGTGCCATGCAAACAAATGATTTCTTTAATGTATAGAGTGGCGAACTTAGTAAGGGGGTACGTGATTCTGATTGGTAAAAAATGTGTCGACTTCATCAATCGATCTACGATAACCCATATTGCATCATTCATCGAGACTGATTGCGGTACCCTAACCATGAAGTCCATAGTAATGTGCTCTCATTTCTATTCAGGAATAGGGAGTGGTTGCAACATTTTTGCAGGTCCCTGATGTTCTGCTTTAACCCATTGACAATGCATGCATTTGGAGACGACGCTTGCTATGTCTTTTTTCATTCCTATCCACCATTAGTGTTCCTTTAGATCGTGATATATCTTCGTATTACCAGAGTGGATCGCAATTCTCGAGCTATGAGCTTCTACCAATATCTTCTTCTTGAGTTCTGGAAGGTCGGGACGCAAATTCGATTTTGAAATTTTAGCATCCCATTACTTATCGTGAAGTTAGGATAGGGTGTGCTTCCTTGCTCCTCGTACCTTTTCTTTAAAAGTTTATCTTCACGTTGGCGTGCTCTAATTTCTTCAATCAACACGGGTTCTATGATTATGTTGGCGAGCAGTCTATTGCTCTTGCGAAAAACGAGGGTACATGTCAAACTTCTGGTCGTCTTTTAACTCAATGTATCTGCTACCATGTTAGCTTTGCCTGGATGGTGATGGATCTCTATATCGTAGTCTTTTGTAAATTATAACCACCGTCATTGCCTCATATTCAGTTCATTCTATGTAAACAAATATTTGAGATTCTTGTGATATGTGTAAATTTCGCAGGTTGCACTATAGAGATAGTGACACCAAATTTTGAGGGCGAAGATTACTATGGCTAATTTCAGATCGTGGGTCGGGTAGTTCTTCTCGTGGGTGTTTAGTTGACGTAAGGCATATGCAATGACCTTTCCATTTTGCATAAGAATGCAACCCAAACCATTATATGAGGCATCACCCTAATTTACGAACCCTTCTATTTCCGCGAGGAGTGCTAGTATTGGAGCTATCACAAGTCTGTTTTTCAATTCATGGAAGCAACGTTCTTGCTTGTCCGTCCATTCAAAGGGTGTGTTTTTCTGAGTTAGCAGGGTCAAGGGTGATACTATCTTCAAAAAATCTTGCACGAAGCGCCAGTAATAGTCGGCTAGATCCAAGAAGTTTCGAATCTCGGACACGTTAGTAGGTTGTGGCCAATCCATGATTGCCGCAACTTTTTGGGGATCAACTAAGATGTCATTCTTGTTAATGACGTGACCGAGGAAGTGTACACTGGTGATCCAGAATTCGCGTTTCTTCAACTTGGTATAAAGTTTGTGATCACGTAGTGTTTGTAGAATCGTTTGCAAGTATTGTTCATGGTCCACCGGTGACTTGGAGTATATGAGGATGTTTTCAACAAAGACGATGATGAACTCATGTAGATAGGGTTGGATAGTCGATTCATGAGGTCCATGAAGGCCGCTGGAGCATTTGTGACACAGAATGGCATGACGAGAAACTTGTAATGCCCGTAACGGGTTCTGAAGGTAGTCTTTTCAATGCTTTTCGTTTTGACTTTTAGTTGATGGTGTTATCCCAGATAAGAAACCCAAGAGGGGGTTGAATTGGGTTATTAAAAATTTCACAATATTAAAAATAACACAATATTCAGAATTTTAATAAATAAAAAAAAACAGAATAATAATTATCAATATAAAAGTAAGAGAGATAGTGAGAGAAAATCAAATACTGCGATTTATAGTGATTCGGCACGCTAGGCCTACGTCCACTCCCTAAGGAACCTCCTTGAGAATTTCTTTACTATCAATTGAATAAATACATCACCAAGCTTGTGGATTGGGCACAGGACTTACTCTTATCTATTGAGCCTCACTCAACAATAAATGCCTTATCCTTACAAAATCTCTCACAAAAATAAGGAATAAGAATAAGTGGTACTTGAACCCACTTTTACAATAATTCTCTCACAAAGAGTAGATATGAAAGTATAAGAACAAAGGCTAGACTTAGATCTGAAAGTGAAAGAGCAGAATACAATGTACTCAGAATTTTGGAGCTTAAGAAAATTTTCTCTTAAAGTTCTTGATTTTTTCTCCACACACAACACTTCTATTTTTACACAAAAATATACCCGTTGGACGCTCCTTGCTGATGTCATGGCTTACATAAGCACGCTCCTGACGTCATGGCTTACATAAGCACACTCCTTGATTTTAAATAGTCAGCAAATGTTAATAATTAAAAAGATAAAAGTAAGATTAATTTTTTCTTTTCCTTTTGTTTATTTTTTTTCAAGCATGGAGCCACCGTTTTTGTAGACAATTTAATACAAAGTTCATAACTTTTAAACAAACAAATGATTTGCTCCATCTATATATATGTATATATATATATATAACTCCATCTTTTTCTTCTTGTTTGATTATAATATGATATAATCAATTTAGTGTAGTGTGATATGATATAATCAGTGTAGTGTAAAAAGTTTAATAGCGCACGTGATGTATTCTATTTATATTATATGCATTATATATATAATGTTCTAATCAAATATTTGCATACAGAAAAACTCTTTAATAATATTTGTGATGGATTTGAAAATATATGCCCTCTTTAAAATATTGTATATGTTGTAGAGATTTTAAACTAAATATATCCTACCACTACACATTTGGATATATCACTTTTGTCAAAAGAAGACAACTCGTTAATATCATATTTGTCAAGATAATACAACCAATCAATCATTTTTGTCAAAATAATATAATTAATCAATTTTAATTTTGTCAAAAAGTGAATAGTGACCAGCCTAAATTTTCAAAAATTGAATAGTAAAGTTTTCAAAAATATTTTTATTATAATATTTAACAAATATATATATTTTAAAAAGATAATATTTTGTGTCAAATAATATGTATATTAAAAAAATCCAAATTGTTACAAATAATATTTTAGACATCATCAAAATTAAATAATATGATTAACAGATGGTAGCCGAAACGCAAGTTAATTTTCGAGAATACTTCGACACCTTGCAGTTGATTGAACAAGTCATCGGTTCATGGCAGATGGTACCGTTTTTTAATGGTGACTTTATTCAGCTCTTGGTAATTGATGCATAATCTCATTGTGCTATCATTTTTCTTTACGAATAGTACTAGAGCTCCCCAAGGTGAGGTACTAGGTCGAATGAAACCTTTGTCCAGTAGTTCCTGAAGTTGAGTCTTCAGCTCTTTTAATTCTGTCATGGACATGCGATAAGGGGCTTTTGAGATTGGTTGTGTACTAAGTTGTGTTTCAATGGTGAATTCGATTTCTCGGTCAACCGAGGTACCAGGTAAGTCTTTAGGAAATACATCTGAGAATTCTCAAACCACAGGGATTGCATCAAGTATGGGGGCTTCTTGTTGCGTATCGATCACATAGCAGATACAACTACAACAACCTTTTCTTAGAAGTCGTCGGGCTGTTATGAAGGATATAACACATAGAGGGGGAGAGACTCCAGTTCCATCAAAGATAAGCTTGAGTTGGTTTGGTAACCGAAAGAAGACCTTTTTGGCGTCACAATCAATAGAGGCATGGTTAGCAGCTAACCAATCCATTCCTAAGATCACATCAAAGGTACTAATGCAAAGGGGAATCAAGTCTACGTGTAAGGTTTTCCCTTTTAAAGATACAATACAAGATTTGTACGCATCAGTATTAAGGGCGGGGTTACCAAAAGGAAAAGACACAGACAATACATATCCTAAGGGTTCGAGTGTTAATATTAACTTGGAAGCAAATTGTGGTGCGACAAAAGAATGAATAGAATCAGAGTCAAAGAGAACATGAGCTAAATGACCACAGATAGAAAGTGTACTTGACACAACATTCTTGGTAAGTTCTGGGTTTCTAGTTACCAAGGCAGAAGCCTTTCCTTGGCGTTTTTGGTCCTTCATCACTTTTCCAAGTACCGCAGGAGCCGGTTGTAGGATTGGCAAGCTTTGGACAATCTCTCAGCAAGTGGCTAACTTGGTCACATCTAAAGCATACTCCCGAGTGTAGATGTCCCCGAACGTCCCGGGAGGGAATCCCATTCTGTTCATTTGGGCTCACTACAGTGGACTCAAATTGTCACGGTTCTTAATCTGATCTCACAATGTGCGATGTGAGATTGATAAATCACCAAGGAGTCCAAATCTGGCAAATCGTTTTGAAAAATAGATTTTTTTTTAAAGAAGTGCCAAACATGGACTGCTTTGCTAGATACAGAGTCGCTACCTAAATGTTTTATTTTGGGAGAATTTAGGAAACCCTGACTCGTTGCCTAAGGCCACGTGTCCATCATCACCAAAGTTGCCTCGGCTCGGGAACTTGGGTACGATTGGGGAAGGTCAGCTATAAGCACCCCCGCTCGCCCGATCCGAAGATCGGCCTGTACTAACCATGATATCTAGTTTTGAAAATATTATGCATTCTTATTCCGGTTATTAGCCTAGATTTATTATGTGATGCGCACAGCATATAAGTATAGACTGGATCACCTGAATTGGTACAAAACATTTCATGCTTGTTTTGAAAACGGTTTGCTACTCGCAAGTAGGTTAAAATCTGGACTTGCCACTCTCAAGTGGGCTTTAAACTCACAGTCAATGCATTATTTCAATTCTGATAATCCAACCTTCACCCACAGGCATTCAGGCAGTTATATCATATAAGCATATAGCCTCATGGTAAGTATGTTGTCATAGCAACACTCACACTCACGTAAGGTTGCTAAAGCGTAAATGCTTACCGAGTACTCCAAGCCAAAAAAAGAAACTAATTAGAGATCATGCATGAGCCCTAACTATACTGAAATGCCTAATGCAACACATGCAAAAATGCAACTACAATAGGCTCGGCTATTCTAAACATGGCATATAGAATGCAATAGATAACATGTATTCAACTCGGAATTGAAATACAATGCAGTTAGTATGATGCGCCGAGCCTGGTGCATGCAGGACAGATGAATGGATGCAAACATGCGAGCATAAGTATGCTGATTGAAACATGCCCTAATCTAACCATCATAAGCTAGTAAATAAAAGGGAGAAAGACGTGGGGTTGGAAGACATACATACACTCACGCACACTTATTACACAATTGCCCTCGCTCGGAGGGTCCGAAAGAATAATACAAATTTAATTAACTAACAAGCTAATTAAATATTACACAACCACTTAACTAATTAACAAATTAACTAGTCAACTAAAGCAGTAAAGAGGTCACCGCAGCTCCGCCTCGGAATGCTTGGACGATGCATGCTCAATTCGCCTCGCTCGGAAACCCGTCGCCATGCCATTGTTGCCTCTGTTTACACTATTCTGCACCTCTGAGAACCATGAAAACATTTGTGATGCTTCTGAAACACTCCCTGCATACTTTGGGATGCCATCGGCCAAGATATAACATTACCGGCCAAGGAAATGTGGCCATTGGCCAAAGATTGGATCACCGGCTTGACATTGATGGTCGGTTGGCAGTAAAAGTGGATGGCCGGCCATTTCTTCCTGCGGAATACTTGGTTTTGCTGCAACAGAGGACAGACAGTACATGGCATAGAATTTTCAAGACAGTATGTGCATAGCCACCCTCCCTATCATGCTATGATCTCAAGGGAGTATGGTCCTCGGTACTCGGGCCACCAATCACGCATTTCGACGCATGATGGCCAAAGGTACCAAGTTTGCAAATCAATGTAAATGCATGCAACAAAACAAATAGATGCTTCACGCCCTATCATGTTGAGATCAAGGGCATCGGCGACCGAGGAGTGAGACATGTTTCGTCACTTTAAGTACGAACACATCTCATTCCTCATGTTTGGTTTGATACCCCAAACCAAACAAAAATGTGATGCATGTATGGCAAATGCAATGCAAAAACATGTAATTGATGCAATGCAACATGAGTGATGCAACATATGTAACTAATGTAATGAAACATGAGTATGCCAAATACCGTGCAATGCAACCCATCATGCAAACAACATGGCAATATGACAAGTATACAACACTACAATGCAACCTAAATAAGCAACTATACAAAGTGGTAGGCATGCAACAATGCATTAATTACAAGGATGCAACAATCATACAATGTAATGAGCATGCAACAATATACAAATGCATGATCCATGGTCTTACACCATGGATGGACAGACCTCAGCCTTGTCCATAACAATGGCCAATAATGATGTAACAAAAACACGAATGACACATACAAGCATGCATGCACCAAGGCCCATCACCTAAGGCATAAAAGAGGCAATTCTAAGCATACTTAAAAAGACAAACATGGGCATTTTATAAATATGCTGAACTCTGAAATCATGATAGAAGGAGTACCAAATCCAAACACACAAGTGGAACATAGCATGCAAAAGGGCCCAAAGCTTGAGACCAACCAGAGGGTTCAAACCATAGCCACA